TAGAGGACAATAGAGTGCGATAATAGTTTGTGTGTTTTTGATGTTACTGGCCCTGATACCTGGGGGATTCTGAACGTTGTCATCCAGAAAAGATACATTTTCCAGCTGTGCCCTAATGCTGGAAAAGAGACCGGCTAGATCAGTGATGGCAAAACATTTTTGAGCCCAAGTGCCCAAAATGCAATGCAAAGCCAACTGATTTATTTCAAAGTGCCAACAAAGCAATTAAATCTGAATACTGAGGTTTTAGTGTAGAAAAAAAACAATTTTCCTGCACTGCAAGGGTTAAATGCCTATGGGTTTTTTTCCCTTGGGGGCAGTGTTAACAGAGAAATATTTACTGGTCTTCCAATCCCCCACTGGGCTAGACCAGTAATGGTCGCCATTACACCCCTCCGCTGGATCACTGCACCAGCAGAGGGGAGTGCCGAAATTCGGGATCAGAAGATGGGTAAGTATTTCTTGATGGCAACTTATGGCTCACATGCCCACAGAAAGGGCTGTGGCACGCATGCCATAGGTTCGCCATCACTGAGCTAGATCATCCACTGTAAGGATGTGTCATTGGAGACCAAGCACATCCACACTGTTGTATTTCTGATCACTGTATATGGGTGAGAAAGCTGGACGGTGAAGAAAGCTGACAGGGGAAAAACTGATTTTTTTGAAAGGTAGTGCTTTGGCCATCTCATGAGGGAGAAGACTCCCTGGAAAAGAGGCTGATGTTGGGAAAGTGTGAAGGCAGGAGGAGAAGGGGATGACAGAGGACGAGATGGTTGGACAGTGTCATCGAAGCGACCAACATGAATGTGACCCAACTCCGGGAGGCAGTGGAAGAGAGGAGGGCCTGGCGTGCTATGGTCCATGGGGGTCACGAAGAGTCGGACACGACTAAACGACTAAACAAAAAAATAGTGCTGGGGAAGAGCTCTGTGGATACCTTGGGCTGCCAGAAAAGCAAACAAGTAGATCCCAGAGCAAATCAAGCATGAACTATATCTGGAGGCAAAAATGTGGAAATTCTGGTTGGACACATCATGAGAAGGCAATTTCTCTGCAAAAGCAATGATGCTGAGGAAAACAGGAAAGCCAAACACTAGATGGATTGACTCACTAAGGAAGCCATGGGTTTGCAAGTGCTGAGCAGGGCTGTTGAGGACAGGACATTTTGGAGATTTTTCTCATTCACGGGGTGCCATAAGTGAGAGGCAACTTGACAGCACGTGACAGCAACAGATCAGCCCTCAAGGAAAGAATAAACAAACGTATGACCCTTTTAAAACGTTGTACGGCCCCATAGCCATATAGTAAATTGACAGTGCAATCTGAAATTTCTTTCCCTGGATTGAAGTGCTAATGTGATCACCAGAAATTATAAACATTCCGTATTTTTCGCACCATAAAAAGGAATTTCCCCCCACAAAAC